ATAAGCCGGCTTTAAAGTCATTTCGTTAAATATTTTTTCAGTTGTAGAGTGAGAAAGAAATAAAAAAAATTATCAAATTTTCTAATTTTGGTCTCTTGACTTCAACTTTTTCAAAAATCTAGAAAAATTTAGATAAGATTTTTCTAAAAACGCAGAAATCTTCTTTAGAATTTCAGCTTTAAAATAAGCCCTCGAAAATTAAAAAAGGTTAATCCGTCTTCGATATATAATTAAAATTGTGAAGCCGAGTTTCGACGATTGGTGTATTGGAATTTAACTGTGACGACTCGATTCTAGCTTTGCATGGTTGCGAATGGGAGAGAAAACAGGGACGGATTTATGCTGGGGAATAATGAAGTTTCACAAATAATATAAAGAAACTCAAAAGTTCATCGTTCCCCCGCATGAATTCGTCCCTGCTTTCTCTCTATTCGCAGCCGCACGAAGCCAGAATCGAGTCGTCACAGTTGAATTTCAATGCACCAATCGGTCGAAACACGGCATCACATTTTTAATGATATATCAAAGACGGATTAATCTTTTTTACTTTTCGAAGGCTTATTTCAAAGCTGAAATTCTAACGAAGATTTTTGTGTTTTTAGAAAAATCTTATCTAATTTTTTCTAGATTTTGAAAAAGTTGAAGTCAAGAGACAAAAATGAGAAAATTTGATAATTTTTTTTATTTCTTTTTCACTGTACAACTCAAAAAATAGTTAACGAAATGTTTTCAAAGACGGCTTATTTTACGCAAAATTTAATCATCATTCTAACCGTAATGAAGATTTTTTTGTATCTCCTTTTATTTACGAGATATGATTGAAAACATGACGGCATGTTTTTTCATAGAGTCGCTTGTAATCGTCCTGTTACTCGTGGACGGTAGTGTACTTTCAATGAAAAATAATTATTATCCAATGAGAATTGGACCCTTTAATATTGTTTGCCTGATAATATTAAAACATTTTTGTTTTGTTATTGAAAAAAATTATTATTTATTCAATTAAAATTCAATCCTGTATTATTATTTACATTATTTAACTAGCCAGTTTACTCCATGGGGGGACTGTCCAGTTTGAAAAATTTTTTTAAGTTAACACAGCAACTAAACAATAAAAGATAAAGTAACTCTCTGGGAAAGAGTTGCGCAAATAAATGATCTTTAAAGCAAGCCATCGAAGAATGAAATCAGTTGATTCATTTAGTCACAAGAGTAAAAAACCGTTAGTATGGCCAGTTTGCCCCACTCTCTCTTACAATTAAGAACATTTCTGTAACAATGTCAATTCTATAATGCTAAAGTCACAAATGATCTACTATAACTGTCGTTCTAACCTATAGTTCTAAAAATATTTCGGAACAATGTTAAACTCTTTTAATATTATATATGGTAGGGGGTCACTTTTATCAATTTATTTTTCCCAAACTCTTTTTTCCAAAAATAATTTTACCAGTAATCAATTTTCCTAAAATTTATATTTTCCAAAAAAAAAATTTCCAAAACAGAATTTTCAAAAAAAAAAAATTTCCAAATATAGTTTTTGGAACATTTGAAACAAAACACATTATACTGCCAGCAGCAAGTTCATGTTGTTTAATTTCCAAATTTAGACTACAGCTGTCACATTATTTTGAGTGTGTAAATTTTTGTTAAAAAGTTCTAAATTCTTGTGACAAAAGTATGGCTGAAATAATTAAATTGAAGACTCAAAATGTTCTACATATTACTGGCTTTTTATATTATAAACATTCAAGTGGATCGGGTAAGACATTGGATTTGTCGACGAAAAAAGGAGTGCTTAGCGCGGGCAATCACATTCGTTGAGGAAAATTGAGAAATCGGTTTGCAAAAGGGACCAAAGGAGTCGGAACATTCTCATGCCCCAAATATAGAAGAAGTTGAGGCACTGAGAATTGAAAACAGAGTGAAGCGCGCAGCTGAAGAGCATCCCGAAGCTTCTCCTGCTCAAATACTTCGAACAGAATTACGCGGTGTTTCTTCCGGTAAATTATAATTAATTATTATATAAATATAATAATAATAATAAATAATAATAAATAATATAATAAAAGAAATTAAATAAATTATTTACTGTTACAAACTAGTATTAATAAAGATATTTTTTCTAATTTAGAAGTTTTGGCGGAATTACTGGACCGAATTAATTTGCGAAAACGAATTAGTCGTACGAGGTTACAACGCATGCCAGCCAACCCGGCAACAATCGATGATTTGGATGAATTACCTAACCAATACAAAGTCACATTTGCAGGCGACAATTTTTTTTGTATGACTCCATAGACGATGATGAAAGTAATTTCGGTAGAATACTTATTTTTGCTACTACAGAAAATCTACGTTATCTCGCTCGAAGTAGTACATGGTTTGTCGATGGGACCTTTAAAACTGCCCCAACAATATTTTTTCAATTGTTTACAATTCTTGGAGCAGTAAGTCAAGTTCATAGGGGGCGAAGTAAAACGATTGGGCTTCCGTTTTTGTATGCACTTTTAGAAAATAAACAAGAAGGCGCGTACGAAAAAGTTTTCTCCATTGTTAAAAATCAGATTAGTAATTTAAGACTTCCGTTTACGCCTCCTGCAGTGATTATGGCTGACTTCGAAATTGCGATTATTAATGCGATAAAAAAAATCATGGGACCCGATAAAATACGATGTTGCTTCTTTCATCTCTGCCAGAGTGTCTATCGACATATTCAGTCTGAGAGACTGCAAGAAATCTATAATGACGTGAATGATCGCAGTGTCAAAATTGGATCTCATATGCTTTGTGCATTGGCTTTTGTCCCCCTTGATGCAGTAATTCAACATTTTGAGACCGTCCGCAGAGATTTACCAGACGTTCTCCATCCTATAGCCGACTATTTTGATTCCACGTATATTCGTGGTAAAACCTCAAGAGTTCGAAGAGGACGAGGTTATACTGTACGAAAAACTCCTCCTCGCTACGATCCCTCTCTGTGGAATCAATATGAAGCAGTTAGACAAGGTACTTCAAGAACTAATAACACAGGCACACAAAAAAATAAAAAAGTCAAAACCCAGAGGTCACACCCCCCTATCCCCATGTTTTTGGGGTCGCTGAAACCGAATAAGACCATGAAAAATTTTATTCATCGGCCATTTTCCCGCTACCACCCCCTTACACCTGCTCCCGGGGGTTGGAATTTCAGTTTAAAAAAAAGTGGAGTAGGGTGTCTATTCCTACGTTTTTTGGGTCGCTAAAACCAAAAAAGACTACCAAAAACAAATTCTTCCCTCCCTTAATCCCCTACAACCCCCTTAACACCCGAAAGGTGGGGGGTCGAAATTCGAATTTTCACGAAAAGTCGATTACGGTGTCTAAACCTACGTTTTTTGGGTCGCCGAAACCAAAAAAGACTACCAAAATCAAATCCTTTCCACCCTCAACATCCTACAACCCCCTGCAATAATTTTTAATAATTAATATTTAATTTTCAATCTCCCAAAAATCGGTTCGTTTTATTTGAAAAAAATTATTACAGGGGGTTGTAGGGGATCGGGGTGGAAAGGATTTGATTTAGGGAATCTTTTTTGGTTTCAGCGACCCAAAAAACGTAGGTTTAGACATCGTAATCGACTTTTCGTGAAAATTCGAATTTCGACCACCCACCTTTCGGGTGTTAAGGGGGTTGTAGGGGGTTAATGGAGGGAAGAATTTGTTTTTGGTAGTCTTTTTTAGTTTTTAGGACCCAAGAAACATAGGAATAGACACCCTACTCCACTTTTTTTAAAACTGAAATTCCAACCCCCGGGAGCAGGTGTAAGGGGGTGGTAGCGGGAAAATGGCCGATGAAAAAAAAATTTCATGGTCATATTTGGTTTCAGCGACCCCAAAAACATGGGGAAAGGGGGGTGTAACCTCTGGGTTTTGACTTTTTTATTTTTTTGTGTGCCTGTGTAATATATCTGAAGGTTGGCATAACAGATTCCAAGTTGTTGTTGGAAAACATCATCCCAGCCTGTATGCCTTTCTCGAGGAAATTAAAAAAGAACAGGCTGACACTGAAATCATGCTGAGGCAAATCCAACTGGGACAGAAAATTAAGAAAGGAATTGACCCGAAAAAAGAAAAGACTCAAGAACAAATTTTTAACATTGTTGAGTCGTATCATGATCATGTTCAAAACGATGAAGTGTTAACGTACTTGAGAAGTGTTGGCTATAACGTCAGATTTTAAAAAAATATTTTTGGTAAAAAAAATTTTTTGTTAAAATTTTTTTTTGGTAACAATACTTTTGGTAAAATTTTTTTTTGGTAAAATCAGTTTGGAAATGTCAATTATTGGAAAAAATAAAATTGGAAAAACAAAACTTTGGAACTGATGGTTTGGTAAAAGTGACCCCCATTCATTAATATTTTAAGTTCATTAATGTCACTTACATCTATTTTCGGAGAAGTTATAATTCCTACTGCCCTTCTGAGGTATTGATACAATTTCCACGGCCGATTTCCTGCAGGTATCAGATCTCCTATCATAAGACCTAAATATCTTATGAGGCAAAGCATTTCCGAAGCAGATTGCTTGATTTTTAATTTTTTACCTCCTTTTTCCTGTGTAAAAAATAAGGGCATCGGTTTGTTACATTTTTCAGTATCATTAAAAGGAAAACTTTGAATGCTTTTATTTATTTGTTCCAGAGTTAATACTTCCTCAGTGATGAGGGATCTTAGGACGTTGCTTATTGTATAGGGACCTATTCCTTCAGAAACATTATGCATGGGGTTTACAGTAAAGTTCTCTGCAATATGAAATTTTGGTATTTCATTAAAAACACAATTTTCCTTAAGACCAGTCGTTGATACACCACTTATAATTTCGGCTTCATACAACTCTTTTGTTCTGAGAAGATCTTCTTTTTCAATATTCATTTTTTTACATTCTTCCAGAGAAGCAGAACAAATTCTACAGTAATGTTTCGATGTAGAAAATTTTTGTGAAAATCCACAAATTGCATTTACTCCAAGATTGTCTCCTAAAATTAAAACACATTCAAAGTAAACTGTTAAATTTTCACCATCAATATTTAGTTATTTTTTGCCTTTCGTTGACAAAGTATTAAAATCTTCAATCGATTTACAAAATATTTTTTTATTTCTAAACATTTTTAAATGTTTAGCATGACATATGGTTGAAAGGAAAATGTTTTCCATTTTGCCAACTAAATGTGGAGGGAAACAAGGTAATAAAACAAATCCACCTCCTAATTTTTGTTCTCCTGCATGGCTCCCTAGCGGATTTCTGATTTCAAACTCATCATAGTAAAAGAATATTGGAAAGACAATTTTATCTTTATTGTGTGGTACGTATTTTTTTAGCCAAACTTCACCTTGTACAAAATTTGATAAAGTTCTCTCTAAGAATAATGTTTCCGAATATTTTAACATTTCTTTTAGTACTCCTGGTATTTGAAAAACTTTTTGCAATGTTTCTGGCAAAGGAATATGAACAACTGTTACTGGCTTCATCTCTAAACGCATTTTTCGTTAGGTTTCGACACATGATGAGGTTCTTGTCCGATATTAAAATTTTGAGGAGGAACATATAAACTCTCATTTTGATACAGAGTGAACCTTTTTTGCTCTGTGGAGAATTTTTGAAATAAGTGTTTGCTACTTTCCAAAATAAATTGAACTTTGTTGTAGGATTTGAAATTGGTAATAGGTTTTAATTCGGCTTCCATACTTGTTTGCAAAAATTGAACGAAAAGGTTTGAAAGAAAATCGACAAATGTGTTAATAACGTCATCAACAGCTTTACGGGAGAGTAGAGGATTATTATGTAAAGAGAGAGTAAATTGAAATTGCTCTTTATCTAGCATATCCTTTGTTACCATTTTTCGTTCCATATCACAATGTTTAAAATCCATTTTTACTAAAATAATATCACACTTTTCATTAAAATAAAAGAAAAATAAACTTTCTTAATGCTCTAAAAAATTTACATCTTTTGCAAACTTGTGATTATCGAATTTACCCCTTTGTACATTTGTTTTAAATCAAATTCATATACTTGCTTTTCTAAAAATGCATAAATATGATTACACACTAACGGGTATTTTTTGTGAAAAACTTTTAAGCATTGAAAATGCAGATCAATTGCTTTCACTGGGGTCGCAACTTGGTATTTTATGTCGCCTAAAATTACAAAAGCAGAATTTATTTCGCTCAGAGAAGGTCCATTGACAACGACGTAAGATTGAATTGGTTGTGATTGTGAATTGTACATTTGGAATATGTCCTCATTCACTTCATTTAGTGAATTCTGAAAATTATCAGTAGCCTGAAAACGTTATTTTTATTTAATATATGTAAACAAATTCCATGTACTAATAATTAGATTTTTATCGAAAAAATAAATATTTTACCTCAATGTGTGCAATGAAACTTTTAAGTACGTCAGACTTTTGCGAACACCATGACGTCTTTGCTTTTGATCTGACTGTTAACTTAGATATTCGTTTGAATAAGCAGGGTAACAAAATTAGAGCTAAATTTTGTAAGTGCTCTGAAAAAGAAAAGTGACATTTTTTAATTGAAGCTAGAGTTGTTTAAAAAGTTGAATTCTACAAGGACTCCAATCCCATGCTAATTTTTATAAATTAGAGAATAGAATTTAAAAGAATTGTACACATCTAAAATCAATATACGAAAGAATATTGTTTCTATTTATATTTGCTTCAAAGTATATATAAATATTTTAAGTATGTATATATACATACGAAATAAATACCTTCTCCTTTTAAAGGTGTATTTCTTCGTAATATACTTTGAATTTCCTCATCTTTTTTTTTCGACTGTGAAAATTTAATTACTTTTCTTGCAATCGCTGGCCAATTCTTCAAAAATAGATCTTCAGATTTTTTGAAGAAAGTATGAAAATCTGCTTGCACCTTAAATAAAATATTTCATTGATACTTGCAATTTACTGGGCAAGTTTATACGACTTCAATAATAATATGTACAAAATTTTTGTTTAAAATAAAACCTTACTAAAATACTTCCTGCCGGATGACATAAGTTTGGAAACGTCTGGAAAATTTCTATGAACTCTTTCTCTTGATAAAATAGTATTCTTTCGTTCAGGGCAGTCTCACGCCACTTTTTCACATAATCTTCATGAATAATGTCACCTCTTTCTTTCAACTCATTTAAGCTTTCAGATATTCAAAATTCTAAACAGTAATTTATAAATGTTATTGAATTTTTCATAATATGTGTTACATAAGGCTGATTAGATTTGTTCTTACCTTCGACAATTCTTTTCCTCTTTAAAGAGTTTTCAGTTGATATACGACCAATTGCAATTTCTTTTTCCCGTTGTTTCCAATAGTGGCAGATGAAAGCACCATTTGCATTTTTGCCGTTTCTCGAACGAATATAAAAACTTTCTTTTGAATATTCAGGAAAGAGATCAGCTGCAAATACTGCTAATTCCTTAAAACGATCAGATGATATTCTGTTAGATAAGAAAAAAAAAGATTTTTAATTGAAGTACAAATATTTATTACTTCTTTATTTTTATTTTTTATAATATTAAAATAACTAACGAAAAATGTTTTGTGCGACGAAACTCGTGATTAACCACCAGTTTTGAAACTTTATTGGTACTGAAAAAAATTTTCTTTTTGGTTTCCAATAGTTTTTGGTAATTCTCTTTATTTTTCTCGAAGTCATAAGCTGCTATTAAAATTTCGCCTTCATAACTTTCGCTTAATATATTAAAAATATAATTAGCACATCTCGGGTCACGATCTGTGTAAATAATATTAAATAAAAAAATATAGAATTTAATTTTTAATTTAAAAAATTGTTTAATGATAATTGTCGAAACTATTGACTACTTCGCGATTTGTATAAGCATAAAATAATTAAATATACAAACCTTCAGAATAATAACCAATTCAAGTATCAGTTTGCAACGCATTCGGTGCTTGAAATAACAAATCTGACTGTGAATCAATTAATATGCATCCTTGATTAATATTTATTGAACTTTTCTCACTGGAAGTTGATTGTTCGCCTAATCACATACATCAAAATTATATTCTTTAGATTAGTGTTTTTTAATTATTTTATTTCCTGTTTATTAATAGTATATTAGAATTAAGTGTACATATATAGTGTATTAGTTAAAAAGTTGAATCACTATTAACAGTTTGATTATATTAAAGCATTTGCCAAAACCATGCAAGAAAATTTACAATTTCTTTTACATACTGTCTACAAACATACAGATGAATATGAGTGATAACCAAATAAGCTCTTTAATGGTCTTTAATTTATTATAAACAATGTATTCTTTAACTCTTTGTATGCCTTTAATATATTTGAAGGCTATATAAGTAACTTAAATAAACAAAAGAATAATTTAAATAAAATTTTTTTTAATCATAATTATTTATTAAAAAAAAAAGAAATATTTTTGGATAAAAGTAAAAAATATTTAATGAAATGAAAAAATATTTATTTTGCAGAAATTTCTTTCTTTGTTTTAAAAAAATGTTTTCTAAATATGGTCAATACAAGATGCAGTATAGCGTTTAATGAATATGAAACCACATTTTTGAAAACTTTCAAGTAAATTTGGAACATGCGTTTTGGTTCTATCCACTGAATTGTCCATATCTAAGCCTTTCTGTGAATGTCAAAAACAAAATCAAATGTGAAATGAAACATAAAATTAATGAGAAATGTGCAGAAACAAAAATAAATGATAAAGGATATACTAATAGCGAACAAAACTGAATATTTAAAAAACCTAAATATATCACTAACGTATTATACATGCTTGAATACATACATTGTAAAATTCTATTAAAAAATGATTTAAGTGATTATTCTTATTTGAAATTATAACATAACCTCAATTATAGTAAGGTATAATCATGTAATTATATACAAGTTAACATTACAAACAAGTGAAGATGTTGAATAATACAAATTAGTAATTAATATAAGCATAACCTTTAAAAAATACGTTACTAAAAAAAATGCCGGTTTCTCTTATTTTTTTACAATTATAAATTAAGACTACAAATCAACTTACCTTTTTTCCATGTACGACTGTTAATCCTCGGTTGAAACGTGCGTATAACCTATGTGAAACACGCGAGTAAATCTACGACTTTTCACAAACCGTTTAATTCGCTCGTTGCTAACGCTAAAATAGTATGTGTCTTGAGCGAATTTGGTGTGTCAGGGTAGGGAACTTTATTCACATGATAAGCTTACTATTAGGCCATAGAAATGTTGCGAATAGAGAGAATATGGCAATCTTTTAGCGCTTGGCAGTTTTTGGTACTATCTTTGCATGATTTTAAGTGATTATATTAATAGAACAGTAATACCAACGTCGCAGGAAAACTATTCATACTCTAAGGTTGAGAAATTTCTCTCAGTGTAACCTTCCTGAGTATTTAAAAACAAAAGCTTTCAAATCGGTTGAAAATTGAAGAGTAGGCCTATTTTTGGCCAAAAGTAATCGCTTTTTTCGACTGTGCATCGACACGAAGATTCTTAATAACCTAAATCCAAAATATTATTTTAATCCCTCCAGAAATGCGGTTGCAAAATGGGAAATACCATAGTAATGTAATGCAAATCATATTGACTAAGCCTCTATTCTCGCAGTATGCTGCTGCCTTCTAAGGGCAAATGGCTATAATACACGTCTTGTCCCCTGTCATTACATTATTATTGCATTTCCCATTTTGCAACCGCGATTCTGCATGTATTAAAAATACTTTCGGATTTAGGTAATTAAGATACGTGTCAATGGTTTGTGGGCAGATTTTGCAAAAAGTGCTTCTGTGCAGAGTAGTACTTATTTAAAAATGATTGCTTACCAATTTCATGTCATTTAAATCGGTCAGTGACATTTTTGATGGTCGATAACTGTAGGTCGTATATATATCAAAGAATTTTAAGAGGCTATCGAACACTCTTGACATTTAATAGATGTTACTAATTGCTGATAAAGTTGAAATCGTAATTAAAATTGACTCAACTATATGCTCAATTGTTCTGCTATTTTGATTGTGTCTCCAATTAAAGTATGCGTCAGAGTGATAGCAATTTCTCACTAAACTAATAGGTAGCGTGAGTTTATCATCGAGAAAAGCAAAGCGTGTTCATTAGTTTTGTTAGGTAAGATTACACTATAATCGCTCTTGGTCGATCGAACTTGTAAGTCCGTGGCGACGAAGCTATATAGAGCCAAAAGGAGCCGATATTATAGGGAGAAAACCTTGGAGAAAACAGTAAATGGCCCTAATAATGCAAAATCTCGGTGGCAATAAATATGAGTGTTCACAATATCTCGCACTCGATCTAGGTAGCATGTCCAGAGCCTGCGTTGCCGCGTGTGTCTCGTGTGATATCGTTCGCGTTTGCTCACGTTATATGCATAGCTACCGAAAGTACTCACGTCAGGTGCTCTAGCTTATCATACTGGTGACGCTATACGGTCTTCCTGCTCTTTATGCGATCATCCAGTTAAGTTCCAGGTCATTTCTTTATATCCCATTTTTATGTATGATTATGAAAGAGTAATTCATTAATAACTCTTATCATTTGGAATTTTGTAAAAATATTTAAATTTGATAGATGTTTAGCAAATGTTATATTTTTTGGGATAATGTTAAGTTTTGGGACACAAAATTTTAAATTTTACAAATATGTAAAATTGGTCTGAAACCAATATTGTATTTTCTTTCACTTGTTTAATGCAAGTCAATTATTTTTCACATAATTTTTTATTTTTCTTTCAATCGGTACATAAATTTTGTGATGTCCCTGTATATTCTCTTACTCATATAAATATTTTTTTCATTAAAAATTAAAATTGTGTGGCCGCTTACTTGTTTGATTTTTATAAGTAAAAGCAAATCTAATGTGATCTAAATTAAAAAGATTTAGAATATCGAGTTTGAGTTATTATAAAATATTAGAATTTTTAAATAGCTGAAGAACATAATATCCTTTAAGATCCTACTGGAGATATCATTTAATTATTCTACATTCTACAACATTCTTTCTAAACCATAATTTATTTCCAAAATCAATTCCCACAAAAAGAAAATTTTACAGAATAGAAAACTTGATATTTAAATACAGTCGAACCTGGATAAGTGGAACCTCAAGGGACCAAAGTTCTTGTTCCACCTATAGAGGTATTCCACTTATCCAGGTCATTTAAGGTCAAATTACTTGTGCTGGGACTGCAAAGAAAGTTCCACTTAAAGAGGATTCCCACTTATCAAGGGACCACTTATCCAGGATCGACTGTATTAAAAAAAATAAAAAAATTTTGTTTACAGTTTTTTTGTCCTTAGACCCTTTATTTACAATTTTTTATTTTTTATAATAATCTCTATCATTTCATCTTTAATTTTAAAAAAATTATCTTCGAGACTTTAATTAATTTAGAAATTTAATATTGTATAGTCTAATTATCATAATGTCGAGAAAAACTAGTACCGAAAGCATTTCAACCTTCATTTGATTAAAGTCTTTCATAACAGTTAAAACTCCTATAAACAAATAAATTACAATACAAAGATTTCTTGAGGTGTTCAAATTTATGCTGCTCGATATCTCTAAATTAATTAAAGTCTTCAAGATATTATTTTAAATTGAAGATAAAATTATAGAGATTATTATAAAAACATTAAAAATAATGGGTCGAAAGTTTTTAAAACTGTAGGAGAATTTGTTTTTACTTTTTTTAAATTTAAATATTAAATTTTTTTATTATATATAATTTTCTAAAGATACGTAATTTTCTGAAAAAATTAATGTTTGATTTATCAAAATCGGTCAAAAATTGACCGAAATATAAAAGAATGAAGTAAATTCAATGTGAAATTAAAAGTGGTTAAAATCCTACAATTTTAGATATTTTGAAAATTCCTTTTACATATATTTAGCTCTTATATTAAACTATAGGGTAAGAATTCCTGAATTGGACCCCAATTTTCTTTAGGGTAAGGAACATAAATAATACCTAGTGTGTTTGATAGTCCATGACGGCACTAAGAAAACCCTTAAGAGGTTACATGGGTCAAAACGTCCAGACAATGTATGTTTGTTTAATTTTTTTTTCAAAAAATAAATAAATTTTTTTATTTGAGCACTTTGATATCTTAAAGTACACTACTAAATGAGTAACTTGTAAAATTTTCGTTAAAAAATATTTAAAAGCAGACTAAAGCATTATAATTTAGTGTTCATAATCACCTACAGCCTACAATTTTCGATGAAATTTGACTTTTTTTTCTAAATCTTCAGCGATAAATTTTTCAGATCGCCATTGAGCCGGATTTTCGAATTTCATTTTGCAATATAGTTTATTTAAACAATTAAGTGAAAAATTTAACCTACAATTTCAATATTTGTTGAATATTTTTGAAAAAAATTATTAAATCAACTATTTAAGTATCTTAACAATAACATATAATATGTCCAAAGACACAAAACTCATAATTAAAAATATTATTCCAATTGTTCTTAACAACAGTTTTAAACAAATACCTATACATAATAAAAAAAAGAAAATATTGCTTTTTTTTGCTGCAATAATTTAAATAATGGTTTAAACAAAAGGTACGATAGAAGAATAATTGTTAATAATAAATAATTATTATTATAAATAAATAAAATTAATTAATTAATAAATAATAATTAATAATAATAATTAATAATAATACATCACTTATACTTCTTTTTTCACACATATTCACAATACACGTATCACACCCATATGATTGTTTCCTTCCTCGGCCCACTGGGAGTACCCTGAAACTTCGTTCACTTGTTTTCGGTGGGCCGTGGGCCGATGTTTGGAAAATAATGCTTGGCATCATGGCGAAACAGAGACTCCAGAACGAAGCCCTGGAAAAGACCATCTTGGCAATGGAGAATTCCTTAAGAAAGAATACACCGACTGAGGTAAAGGAATTCATGTTAGAGGCAAAGGAAATCTTCTCTGGTGTTAGGAGTGCGGGTCTTGCCCTCCGATCATCAGCGGATAGGCTTCAGAAGTCAATGGAAAGACCAATGACCAGAAATGTAGGTGTGACGCAAATGGCACGCTCGAAAACGCCTTTGAGCACACCGAAACAAACTGAAGTTTGTAAAACTCCCTCTTCTACGAGCACAAAGAGAGGAGCATCAACATCACCAGAAGACCGACAGCCAAAGAAGCTGGCTTCTGAAATAACTCAGATGACAGCAAAGTCATCCGACATTCCGACAGGGGAAAAAATCCCGACGGTAGTTGGACCAAGGTTGTTTCGGAAAAGGAGAAAAAGAAGAGAAAGAAAAAAGATAAAAACAAGCAGGCAACAAGAAAGGAATCAAGTGGCCCAGGGAAAAAGAAGAGGAACACTGACGCAATCAGAGTTTCGATGGAAGACGGAAGAGCGCCGCCGACAGAAATTATAGACGAGCTTTTTAAGACTGTCAACCCTGCAGAAACAAAAACAGAGGTTCTGTCCATTAGAAGAACGAAGAAGCAAGACTTGATTTTCGTTCTTAAGAAGGGACAGAGCTTCTCGACGTTCAGCAATAAAATGACCGAGGCCCTGAAAGGGAAAGCTAGTGTCTCACCCCTAGTGACAAAAAGGTCACTAGAAATTAGAGATCTGGACGAGGCAACAGAGATTGAAGGTGTAACTGAGGCTTTAAAAAAGGCTTTAGATAGAACCGAATTGGAGGTGTCCTGCAGACTTTTGACTCTGCGCGGAGCCGTAAAGATGGCAGTAGTCCAACTACGAGAAACAGATGCTGATGCTCTGCTTAAGGCCGGTAAGGTAAGGGTAGGCTGGATAAACTGCAGGATTCGCAGTAGAGTTGAAGTGGACAGATGTCACAGATGCCTGAGATATGGACATCTGGCAAGGGTCTGTAAAGGACCCGATAGGAGTAAAGACTGCTGGAAGTGTGGATTTTCAGACCATTCTCACAAGAATTGTGCGAAGGAATTCGACTGCACAACTTGTGAGGATAAAGGGATAAAGGAGACAAATCACGCTCCAGGAAGTGGGTCCTGCCCTGTC